GTATATATATATATATATATATATATATATATATATATATATATATATATATATATGAGTATTGTACATCTAACATAGTATAATATGGTAAATATGGTATCCTAATTATACGATATATAATTATGTAAGGGAAAAAAATATGCCACATCACAAACAAATAATGGTGAATTCATGGTGGGACTGACTTTATGTTCTGCTCACAGTGACGTGTGGGAGTCTCACGTCTCGCTCTTGCACGAGTCCATCATAAAACCATAATTAGAGGCCTTGATGCTAGCGAGCGTCTGCTAAACGACAGCAGAATGAAAATCAATTTGATTGGCCTAATAAAGTGATCCGTGTGCCGCTAATGATTCATTTCATTTGCTCTTTTGTTCAGGCCACATTGACAGTGTATCATTCAGGTTCTCCTGAGAAATGTTTACTGTTGAATGATATTAAAGATCTGAACTCTGAGAGCGATAATGACTCAAAACGTACCAGAAAATACCACGTCATTACTATGGACATGCTACTGTGATAATTCTTTGAAGTAACATGTGAATATTATATGAACATGGTAATGAGTACCTTGGTATATGAAAGTACCACAGTATTGCTGTGATTTTGACATCATAACATGTTAATATTGTATTTTAATATTAAACTTTTAGACTATTATTTAGAAGTATTTTGCAAATGTAATGTACATTTATGCACATATCATGGTAATAATAAAAGTACCTTGATATTTTCATCTGTTTTTTCATGTCATCACCAATTTTCATTTTACTTTTAATTAGGAAAATGGTTTGATTAGAAAAGTTTTAAGAATTTCATTGTGCGTTTATCATTTTTATTTATTTTTTTATATTTATTTTTGGCTTTAATTAATTTTTTATTTCAGTTTTAGTTGTAATAATTTTAGTACTTATTTTATTTCAACATCTCATTTCCGTGTAGTGTAAGTTTTTCATCTCATATTAATAATTTTATTTCAGCTTTATTTCAATGCACAATATTTATTATTTTTAGTTAACAAAAAACACACTGAAATAACTTCACTCAATACATTCACTGTTTTTTTAAAAATTGAATTGTTGCTCATGACAGATACAAAGTCATAAGGTATCGTATTGTGTTTTTAAGATTTACCACGGTTATACACAAATATCATGGTACATTAATATGGTAATATGTAATATTTCAGTGTCAACAAAGTACCGTGGTATTATCATCTGATATATATTTTTTTTATTTGTCCAGTGGTCAAAATAGGAAAAATTCATATCATAGCACATGTGGGCGTCGGTGATGATACAGCAGAATTATTGTGTTTTTTCTATAGATGTGCTGTGTTTTTCATCAGAATCATAATCAGATTTGCACACCCTCATGTGTTTTGCATTCAGTAAGCGCAGACCGTGTTGTATTTTTGCGACCGGACCGTGATGATATCAGGACTTTTGGCCTTGTTAAGCACTGGACCGTCTCTGGACCTGCTGCTGCGTCTTCAGCTCTGGCGTAGACACAAGATCCTCCATGCACAATATGAGGAGGAGGAGAACATGAGAGGAGCAGCACAGTGCCACAGGCCTGCCTGATGTCAGCGGTCATGCAATCTGAGCGCATGGCTTTAACCTGCTGTTTCCTGTGTGATCAGAGAAACACTCACAGGTGCTCCAAACAACACATGACAAAACATGCAAACTCTGTGAGAAACAAAGGACAACATGGATTTGCACCAACAATATCCTGATTATTCTTTTGACTTTATAAACTTTAAGCACCTTATGTCTGAATCTTTGTTTTGTGTCTTTTAGTTTGTGTTTGTGACATCTGATGACAAAATACATTTCTAGCACATTAAAGATTTGCAGTCTCCAACATATTGATGACTCAAGTTGCACTACACAGATTTCTGTCCAATCAGATGCTTGTGTCCGAAAAGCTGTGATATAAACTAAAGTCTATTGGTTTTTTAAAATATCTTTATCTTATAAAATATTCTTTGTTTATATTTTCTTCCTGTCCTTAACATCAACCTGCCAAAAGGGACTACGGATGAAAAATAGCCAGTGTTGGCTAAATCTGGCGCATTTTACATATTTATGTACAATTAATGTGCATTGTCCCTGATTAAATAAATAAATGGAAATGGAAAATAAAAGTCACAAGTTTTTGATATGCTGTGTTTATTTGGAGACACTACAGGTGAATACTACATGTTTTCAGGAATAAAGTGTTATATAAATCAGTGTGAATGATATATGAACAAACCCCTCAGTAAAAGTCTTCAGAATATAGAGAGGAATAAAACTGTAAAGTTTGGTGTATATAAGTGCTGCTGAAGTGGAGAAAAAATCTCTTTAAAGATATGGATTGGAACTGAAATCTACAGGCGTTAATAGATAAAACATTCAAAATACACTTTTAAATGCTTGTTTTAGTGCATTTTATTTCCATTCATCTGAAACAAAACATTATGAAAATCAAATTGCCCAAAATCTCAAAATTGACCAGTGCATGAAAGAAACTTTTGGCTGTAGTGTCTTGCCTCGTTTTTCCCTTTTAATTCATCTTTTAATTGGATAAAACTAGGTTCAAACATATGTCATATTAGAGTTAAAGGTTTTTTCCAGGGGAGATTTTGAATTTCTCCTTTTATCACTCCATAAATCAGAAAATACTTTCAACTGACAGAAAAAAAATCACACTGTTTTTGGGAATAAACTGTTGTATAAAATCAGGTGAACGAACCCCTCATTAAAAACGTTCAGAATATAGAGAGGAATAAAATTCTAAGTTTTGGTTTATGTAAGTCACTTTGGATAAAAGTGTCTGCCAAATGAATAAACGTATAAGTGTAGAAAAAAACTCACAGCCTTTAAATGTATGCATTGTCGCCATGTTTGTAGGAGTAAATGTTATATAAATCAGTGTGAATGATATATGAACAAACCCCTCAGTAAAAACCTTCAGAATATAGATAAGAATAAAACTGTAAAGTTTGGTGTTTATAAGTGCTGCTGAAGTTAAGATAAAAACTTTCAGCCTTTAAACATATGCATTTTCACCATGTTTTTAGGGGTAAAATGTTGTATAAATCAGTGTGAATGATATATGAACAAACCCCTCAGTAAAAACCTTTGTATAAATCAGCGTGAATGATATATGAGCAAACCCCTCAGTAAAAACCTCCAGAATATAGATAAGAATAAAACTGTAAAGTTTGGTGTTTGTAAGTGTTGCTAAAGTTAAGATAAAAACTCTCAGCCTTTAAACATATGCATTTTCACCATCTTTTTAGGGGTAAAATGTTGTATAAATCAGCGTGAATGATATATGAGCAAACCCCTCAGTAAAAACCTCCAGAATATAGATAAGAATAAAACTGTAAAGTTTGGTGTTTGTAAGTGTTGCTAAAGTTAAGATAAAAACTCTCAGCCTTTAAACATATGCATTTTCACCATCTTTTTAGGGGTAAAATGTTGTTTAAATCAGTGTGAATGATATATGAACAAACCCCTCAGTAAAAGTCTTCAGAATATAGAGAGGAATAAAACTGTAAAGTTTGGTGTATATAAGTGCTGCTGAAGTGGAGAAAAAATCTCTTTAAAGATATGGATTGGAACTGAAATCTACAGGCGTTAATAGATAAAACATTCAAAATACACTTTTAAATGCTTGTTTTAGTGCATTTTATTTCCATTCATCTGAAACAAAACATTATGAAAATCAAATGTAAAGTTTGGTGTTTGTAAGTGCTGCTGAAGTGAAGAAAAAACTCTTTAAAGATTTTATTGGAATTTAAATTTACACATGCAAATAGATAAAGTGCAATAATATAAACACTTAAATATGTGTTTTTTCCCACTAGTCTGACAGAAGAGATAATATGGAAGCAAAACAGACCTCAAAACTGACCAGAGCATGAAAACACACAGATTTTGCCTGAAGTGTCTGGCCTTACACGCTGTTGTGAATCTCTGATAATGCTAATGAAGTGTTGTGTTTGCTGGTTTCTCTCAGACTGACGCTCTGTCTCTGTGTCTCTGGTTTCAGCTGGTGTTTGAGGCGGTGGGGACCGGTGAACGGGGTCTGCTGGCCGTTAGAGGAATCTCGCGTCAGGGTCATCAGTGCAGTAAGTGTCATGAGACGTGAACACGTGTGTCACAGGGCTTCACTATCTGCTGCCGCCACACAGAACCGACCGCAGACGCGCTTCCTTTGAAAGCAGATTAAAGAATCCCCTCTGCTCTTGTGTGTTCCTCTGTGACCTCCGATGATTACAAACACTCATCACTCAGTAAAATATGTTCTAGCCATTTACACAAAGCTAAAAGAACGTGTGTGTGTGTGTTGATTTGTTTCAACGTGAGTCACTTTGACCGTTTTGTAGTAGCTTATTTCTATTTTGCTTCTTCCTTCCTTTTCATCTGATGTCACCGAGGAGGCTGTGCGGGTTAGTTAATGTTAACTAATAGCCAATTAGCTGTTTAGTCACTGTTTAGGCTGGTGTTGTTGGTGATTCAGCCACATTTTAAAGGGACGATTCACCCAGAAATGATCATTGTCATCATTTACTCTCCTTCATGTCGTTCCAAACCTTTATGATTTTCTTATGTTGATGTTTCCTATGCAATTACAAAGAACTGAAGCTTCAGAAAAAAGACACTAAAACTCACTATTATGTATTATGTCATCCATATGACTTGTGCTCTGTATTTCTCTGTATTTCAAAGCTTCTGAAGGCACGATGCTTTGTGTTAGAACATTTTTTTATTTTAGTATTATTTATTATATATTAATACATTATGTATTAATATATTGTTTATTAATATTTTGAATGACCTTTTATTTTTATCTTTTCATCCTTTTTTTTTAGTTTAATTTAGTTTCATTTTTAGTATTTTTATGTGCTTTTGACATTCATATGAATAATTATTATATAATAAATGTAATTTTTATAGCACCTTTTTTTACATTATAACAAGCACTTCACATGAAAACAAGTAAATTATTAATATAACAAGATAAAAACAGAAAACAAAAATTAATATACATACTGTAAAATGCATAACAAAACATGGAACTTAAAACCAAATAAAAATAAAACACAACGTAGAAAAAAAACTCATACAAAAAAAAAATCCTAGATGAAAGCCGAAGTAAAAAACTGCTTAGAAATATTTTAAAATAATATATTTTAAATATATATCTTTCGGTAATGTCTTCTATCAGTTTTATTTTTTTTATTTTTATTTTAGTTTTAATTTATTTCAGTTTTTTAAATGTAATTTTATTTCAGTTTTAATTTGAGTACTTTTAGTAATTTAACTGAAACGTGTTTTTTTTTCAGGTAATGTTCAGGGCAACAAGTTTTTAATTTAATATTTATATTTAATTTTATTTCAGCTTAATTTAAGTAATCGAAAAATCTATTTTTAACATTTTAGTTGCAGTTAACAATGACGTCACTGAAACAAACCCAAATTTAAATAATTGTTTTTCACTGGGCCTTTAAATGCTGAAGCTCCACTGGTGCTTTTGTAAGGATCAGTTTTCATAAACGGCAGTTGATTATAACAGATATAAAGTCATATGGCATCACAATCTCATAATTAATAATAGTCTCTGAATGTCTCGTATAACGTGGCTCATCAGCTGATAAATGAAAGCGCGTTTGGTTTTGAATGATGTTTCTCTGAGCGTCTGATGTTTGACCTTCACTCTTTCACCTGCTCATCCATCTCTCCTCGTCTGTTATTCATCACTCTTAGAGTCGTTCCCTCCGTCCCTCTTCCCTCGTTCGTTCTTAAACTCCTGTTTACACGTGAAGTCACTTCATTTGCAGTGAAATGCATGCAGATCATGAATCCTCCAGTATCAGATCTTTAAATGAAGGTCACGACTAATTAAAATCACATGAACTTTCATTAAGTCACTTTCACTAGTTACTCTGATTTCTTCTGCTGTAACTTGAATTAGTTTTTTCTCTGTTATGAATCTGATGGATGTTTCTCATTCAGGCTGATGTGTGTCTTTTCTCACGCTTCGCTCTCAAACTTATACATGAAATCACATTATTTCCAATTAAATGCATCACATGTCTGTGTTTTTATGTGCACAGTATTATTTATATCATACTTTTTATTACAACTAAATTAATCCAGTTAGTAATTTTTGTGCTTGAACTTAATCTTATTTCAGTTAGTTGCTCAGGTAACATTTCTAACTTCCTTCCAAGATTTCTATTTTATCTCATCTCACTTTCCGCTGGTTGTCTCTCAGTTTTTCTGGGTTCTGGGGCTGATGGCCGGTTTCTCATTCAGGCTGATGTGTTTTGTGTCTCTCTGACCTTTCCTCGCGCGTTTCTCTAAGTGCTGCATCTGGAAAACACTCCTCGCTGCCCTTGAACCGCAGCGGCTGATCCTGTAATATCCTGATGGAAATGTGCTGAGTGAACGTGTGCCGATCCATTTTATGATTGATTCGCTGCAGTTTCACAGGTGAAAGACGTCCGGAGGTCCGGAGGCGTTTGAGTTGATTCACTGTAATGTTCTCAGTTGTGGCTCACTGATTCTCTGTCTGTCTGTGTGTCTGAAATGCATCACATGTCTGTGTTTTTATGTGCACAGTATTATTTATATCATACTTTTTATTACAAATTTTCATTTTAGTTTAATTTCCAGTTTTTTAGGTTTCACTTTTATTTTAAGTTTTATTTATTTACCTTTATTTTAAAATGGATTTAGTTTTAAGTCAGTTTTAGTATTTATTTATTTCAACAGTGTGATTCAGTTAAATGCATCGCATGCATTTGTGTGTGTGTGTGCTCATTAGTGTTATTTTATTATTAGTTATGTCATATTGTAGTTTTTATTTCATTTGAAATTATATGTTAATTTTGTTTCTATATTTTCAGTTCTCCTTTTAATTGTAGTTGAATTTTTAGTAATTTTATTTTAGGTTAAATAAAAAAAAACAAAAAATTTTTTTTATTTGAATTTTAGGTTTTT